ACTGAGAACTATAGAAGCTGTGGAAGACCGAGTACATATATGATGAAGAGAGAGAACTGAATGTCAAATGCACGGTGTTCGATATCGAAGGACATCATACACCCAACACAATTTGGTGTGCGAATTAGTGCTAGCTCAGTGGACTCCGGAAAATACTGGGAATCGGCTGGACCTATTGAGAGACACCGTTGGTGGCAATCTCGTGCTTGTTTGCAAACAAGCAATGGACGTCATCCCAACCAAACGAATTCGTGAAACTAGCCTACCTTGCTATGATCACTTGTAATAGTGGCACCAGACGATCCTGAGTTCAAGATTGCTGTTCAAGCTGTGTTCAAATAGTAAATCCGGATGGATGACTGATGGAAATTCCTTATGTTGAGTGGAATAACTAGTGCAAAGACCGCAACGAGGCAAGCTAGATATAACCATACACGTTTGTACTATCTATGGTCTACATCAGAAACTTGTGAGTTAATGTACAAAATTATGGATTTTTATGCTCAACGAAGGCATATGGGGCTGTGATCTTTTGTAAGTGATGTCACACAGCACTGGAGGACAATCAGTATTCCTCGGTATCAAAGACTCGAGTCGCCTGTGTCCGGATATTGAACAATCCACGTCTAAACTCCTGTCGAACTTGTTCTTTGCTAGAACTAGTAAGGGACGCACTAAGTTATGAGATCACTATTTGAAGGCATATTGGGTTCATCTTTGTAATTTTGCAATGTTCTGTTGTTTTTGAGTGTGTGTAGAAATTATAAGCGGGCGGCAGTGCTAGACTGCCTCGACTAATAGAAATGAGCCTCCGTTGCCTACATGGATAGATATTTACAAAAACCTTAACACATTGGATTTAACGTAAGTGAGTTGAAGCTGGTTTGCTCGGTTCTAAACAAATTGACGAGTTTACACGACATTTATACAATGTACAGTCGCAGGGTGATATGGGCTGAATTTAATTCGCGCTACTGCTGTGCGGACTAGTCTGCACAGATTTATTGTAGGCGTGTAGGTGAGGAGGATATATCTCATCTGTTATCATATACTGTGCGGACAAGTGTATAATTTCTTTCTGAAAAATTTATAAGCAGTTATATGACTTGATAATGTTTCAAAAGTTCTACTATGGAGCCATGTAATGTAATAACAACTAATGTTTGTAAAGTACATGTACATGTATGAATTTAAAGTTTTAGTCCTAGTAGATAGAAAAATATTAAAATTTATAAAGCTATATGTAATATGCAACAATAACGATTAAGCAGTACATACATTTGTAACATTATGTGTTATAGGTCCTTTGCGGATATCTTGGGATAAAGATGAGAACGTGGATCAGGCAGATGATATGATAGAAATGGCAACATCTGCAGGCCAGTATGCACTCAAAACATGAGGATGTGAATGGTGGTCCCTGCTGACTTGGTCGGGAGAGTGAGCCTTATGCGTGGAGCGGGTGTTAGCGGCCCAGGCGTGCAGATTGATGCGATCACTCACTAAGATCGTCTGATGTAATTCTGTTGCACAAGTGAGATTGGCAATGGGATATATGTGCCTTACAGGTATGAAAATGTACATGTAAATTGTGTGATGTCAATGTACATAACTAGCATATGTGATACTTTACTTATGTATTGGGATTGGGGTAATAACTCAATATAGTTAGCAGCTAGAATGTCTGTTTTATCAGAATGGTGAATAAGGTCGCAGTGGACTTGGTGGCAGGATTTTACCGCTCGATCATTTAAAATTTGGCAATGAAGGTACGTTTATTGGTAAAGCGAAGACGCAATCGTTTTGGTGTGGCGGAGTCATCGTAGCATGGTAACAACATGGGTGTGGAAATATCTGTAGAACTGTAACTTGTGCTTGTTTTAACTCGATTTTCATGGATTTGGACACACAGGGCCGATATAACTGTCCTTATATATTGATGAATTCAGAAAGTTTAAATATAATTTAAAATATAAAATTTAAATATAAATTTTAATACAAAATGTCAATTTTATGGACAATTCGGGTAAAAATGGAAGAAGTTACAGGTTCTGATATTATTGACAAAAAAATGTTGATGTTCCCATGGCACGACTGAACTCGCCCACACCAAAACGATAGGCGTCTCGCTTTACGAATAATGCCTTAATGCGAAATTTGAGATGATCGAGAAGAACTGAGCGTTCACAAGAAATCTTGCGGCGGCGGCGGCACGTCGAATGACAGAACCCATGTATCCCACGAACTTCTTTTCGGGAGATACATTTAATGCAATGCTTTAATACGTGTAGTGTGATCAGGTCCGACTGGTCTAAGTCTGTGTGATACAGGTCTGACTGATCTAGAGTCCTTGTGATATGGTTTTGATAGTATCTAGTCGGGTGTGATAGGGTTGATGGTCTAAGTCTAATTGAGTGGATTGACTGGTTCGGAGTCGGCGATGAGTGACTTGGGTTGATGGTCTTAGTCATATGTGATATTGGGTGCTGACTGGTCTAAAGTCGGTGTGATACGGTCGTCAGACTGTCTAAGTCAGATGGATGTGGTCTGATTAGTCTAGTCGGTGTTGATGGGTCGACTGTCTAAAAAGTCAGTGTGATATGATAGACGTCTAATCGGTATGATATGGTTCTAGGACTGGCTTACATTTAAAGGTGATTTACTCTAGAATTTTTACTGCATACAAGAAAACCATTAGATGATGCTCCCTTCCCCGCATACCCACAGTCACACATGCCACACCTGACCTCTTCCAATATACGCACACAGTACTTAAGTTATAACTAAATTGGTGTCTATAACCACACGTATTTGTTACAGATACTAATTTAATGTTATAAATTTAATTAAACTATCAACGCTAGCGAAATTATGAATCCGGGCCATGACACCGCTGACCGTTGCGACCCCGAAAAAGTGCCGTATTTGACCATTTATTTTGGCACGTTACGACGGGGTAATCACGAAAAGATGGCAGAGTTTATTTATACCATAAATGCTATTTTAACAAAACGATCATTCATATTTAGGCGCGGCCGCAATTTTATCCATTTATAACTGAACTATATGTCGCAATGGTTATAAGATATTACAATCTTTGTTGTAAATTAAAATAAGAAACAACTGGTCTGTAGCCTTGGCTGGAAAGTGTTTTGCGCAACTTATAGTTTCGTGAGATGTTGAGTAGGTCTGTCGTTGTAATCAATGTGTCGCTTATAGTTTTACGATTTTTATAATATTCCTAAGTGGTGAATGAACCATGAAACCTTTTAGTAGCGTATTTCTACCTAAATAAACGAAATACCCTAGAACTAGAGTAAACGATCCCTTAGTCAGTGTGATGAGTTGACTTGTTAGTGTGTACAGTCGTGTGTCCCACGTAATTAAGGTGTCATCAATTGTGAATTATTAGGAGTTAAATGAGCTGCTATACAATGAGTCTCCAAGACTGACTGGGTCAGAATCAAGCAAACATCACAATTACATGTATAGTTAGGGGGCATGATAGTTAATTATTGAAGCTAATACAAAAATGAGCAGATACATGTTCTGATCTAGAGAGGAGAAAAGAGAGAGAGAGAGATAGAGAGACATTGATCTGTGAAGGGGAAGATGATTCAAGTCGTGTGTTGTACATAACGAGTGTAAGATTTTTTATTTGTCACTGATATTTTATATCTTTTATGCATTAATATTTGCCACTGTTTGGCTGAGAGAAGAGAGACAGTTGCATTGTTGTAGATGAGGAAGATCGATCAAGTTGATCATTAATGAGTGTTAAAGCCGACACAATGCGCACAAACGCTATTTTCAGTACTGAGAAGGAATACTTCGTGTCATGATAATCACATAACCTTATGACAAAATTAATTAGTATTGCTCCCATTTCACTGCGGTTTGCTTTAAACCACAGAAAAGAGGGAGAAAACTGGCTTCTGGCGCAAACGCCGACTGTTTGCAACATGATTGCTGAAGTGGAATGAACGTCACATGTTTTTTATCTTTTGTACCGTACGCTAATAACGCAGACGCTGCGCGGTTCATTGTGGAAACTGTTCAACAAATCGAAAATTTTAACACATTGTGAGTATTTCAATACTTTTATAAGAAACGCGCAGTGAATGGGAGAGACTGAGTTATATTTTTACATAGGGAGTGTGATTAGCATGACCGACGTATTGGTAGTCGTAGTACTGTGCGAAATTAGCGTTTGGATGGCATTGTGCGGCTATTAAACTTTTATTTGTTCACTGATTCATATCTTGTTTAATGCCAATTTAATATTTGCACTTTTCTGTCAGAGGGGGGAGAGAGAGAGACAGTGATTGTGTAGAATGACGATCCGTAGTCTGTGTGACATAACGGAGTTAAACTTTTTTATTTGTAACTGATTATCATATTTTATGGCAATTCAATATTTTGCACTTTTGGCTGAGAGAGAGAGAGAAGACAGTGGCATTGTGTAGAAATGAAGAGATAGATCAAGTTTACATAATGGGTTGTTAAACTTTTTATTGTCACTGATATTATATCTTGTTATGCTAGGGCACACGAGGTATTTTCTCGTCCCAGATCGCGCGATAAAATCGCCCACAGCGATTTTAATCGTGCCGATCACGAAGGACAACGTAGCGAATTTAGAGAGGTACGTGTACGCACTCGACGAGAATCACATGATCACAAGATGCATCACATGATTCAAAACGTCGATTGGTTGAGAAAATCGATCGGGCGACCAAAATACGCAGGACACGGGAACACGAGCGAATTTGCAGTAAATAATCGCCGGCGGTAAATAATCGCCCGAAAATACTACATTTAGGGATACGGGCAATTAATAAATCAGCGGTGCGACGTGAAACGGGCACACGGTCGGGCGAATTTTCGAGCGTTTTAAAATTCGCGGCGATCGTGCGAATATAAATAGTCTGTGTGCCCTTCACGTCGACGCGATTTTAATCGCCGCGTATCCAAAATGTTTAGATATTTCGGGGCGATTATTTACTGCATTCGTCGTGTTCCTCGTGTCGCGCGATTTTGTTGCCCGATCGAATTTTTCTAAGACAATCGACGTGTTTTAGGACGTTCGGTTACCTTTATGCCAATTAAATATTTGCACTGTTCTGGTCAGATGTACTAGAGCTATGTGTGAGGTGGATGTCTGGATGCATAGCCTAGCGGCTCCTCGTGCGGAACCGGTCGCGTAGCCACGGCCTTATTTTTAATTCAAAGCAATATTTTAGGGCACATGCATGTACAGTACATGACCAGTCCTTACTGATAAGAGACTGTATAATTACCATTACATAACCATTAGGTATAACCATTACATTATTAACCATTTATCTACATGCCCGAACTTGGTAATTTTATGCTAGAAACAATATTTTGGGAAAAGTGTATGAGTGCTATTGCCCTGAAACAGTTAACGTTAATGCGTTTTACTATATTTTCCAATGTTTTTCATTAACGATGATATGTCAATATTTAGTTTATTACATTGAAAAAGTAAGCATTAATAAGCCCCCCCCCTTCCCTCCCAAAAAAGATTTAATTTTCAATAATCAATTTCAGATTGTCATGTCTGACATAACCACATAGTTATTTTTTCCGGATATGAAAGCCTGGCTTAATACAATTTACATGTTTGTAATTTTATTTTTCAGGGGGGCTGATTTCCGGAAGGAGTACCGGCGGATCAACGAAATCCACTCGGTTGTTTCAACGGGTACCCCTTTTCTCGCCTTGACGGCCACGGCTACAGAGCAGATGAGAAAAGAGATTGTAGAAGCCCTGGGCATGTCTCCGGATACCACAACAGTGGCCGTAACACCAGATAGATCCAACATAACATATTCTTTCAAGAAAACTAAGAAGAATATCGGTGAGGATTTGCAGTGGTTGGTGGAGCAAACTAGATCAACGACACCAAAGAAAGTGATTGTGTACTGTCGAAACATTGCAAACTGTGCAACATTGTTCGAGCATTTTATGCTCGAACTTGCCGATGATGCTTACGTGTCCAAGGAGAGAAGTCTCAACACAAGAGTGGTTGGCATGTACCACAGATCGACATCCGACTCCAATAAGCAGCACGTATTGGATACATTTCCAAAAGCGGATTTCAATCTCTGTGTGGTATTTGCAACCATTGCTTTTGGTATGGGTGTGAACATACCTGATGTTGATATCGTGGTTCACTGGGGTTCACCAAGAGGAATTGAGCAGTTTGCCCAGGAATCGGGTAGGGCTGGCCGAGATGGTAGGCCATCATATTCAGTTGTGTACTACAGTGGACATGACTTGGTGCCGGGTCGGTCAGAGAAAGAAGTGAAATCACTTTGTTCGGCAACTTCTTGTTCCCGTGCATTTCTAAATCGACACTTCCGCCTTGAAGGGGTGCCAGAATCGCTGAATGCCAACTCCAGTTTTGGCTCGTGTAAGTGCTGCTCAGTGTGTAGATTGGAGTGTAACTGTCGTGATTGTGTTGTGTTGCCATGGTCAGTTGAAAGTGAACGCCAGGTAGAAGATAACTCTGTTCCTGATCTGACAGAGACGAGGGATTTATCACCAGATCAACTGCAATTGCTGCGAGATAATCTGTGTGATTTTCGTGTGTGTTTGTTGGAAGAGATTGTTACCCCGGTGTTTGGACAACGAGACTTGTTGATTGGGTTTTCTCATGAAAATATTGACTCAATTGTGAATTCTGCATGTTTCCTTATGTGCCCAGAAGATGTTGTCGGCTTAGGTTTATGGAGACATGAACTGGCAGTGGATGTACTGGAGCTGATAGAAGAGATTGAAAGTCTGTAGAATAAGTATGTGTCATTACTTCCATGTGTAAAGATATTTCTTTACAAAAATGACCCCAGTTCTCCAGAAGTAAAAATTTCAGTGATTTATCATGTAGATATCGAATTAATTAACCTAGTATAAAAACCCAGCGACACGGGTCATTAAACGTAAGCAGATCACGTCATAGGTTATTTTAGTAACAGCCAAGGTAACAAGCGAAGGACGCCACCCAGCCATCCCGAGAAACTGAGTCACTGGAACACGAGTAAAAGTTATCACCCACGACGGCCAGAGTGACACTTTAGCAATAGTGTACTGCATTTGTCACTCGTACTTAGCCACTGTTTGTTAAGCCCACAATGTGTTAACAAGCAGAGTAAAATCCTCAATTCCATCTGTACATAAACACAACTAGATGTCTAAAGAGTAGTGAATTTTTATTTTAACATGGTAACGTGATTATATGGGCTGATAAGCAATATTTAAGTGCATATGAATATCAGTGACAAATAATAAATTTTTACACTTGTTATGTACACAACAGACTTGTTCGTTCTTCCCCTCGCATTCTCTCTCTCTCTCTCTCAGCCAGAACAGTGGCAAATATTTAATTGCATAACAAGATATGAATATCAGTGACAAATAAAAAAGTTTAACACCCGTTATGTACAACACAGACTTGTTCGTTCTCCTCTCTCTCTCTCTCTCTCTCTCTCTCTCTCTCTCTCTCTCTCTCTCAGCCAGAACAGTGGCAAATATTTAATTGCATAACAAGATATGAATATCAGTGACAAATATAAAGTTATGTACAACACAGACTGATCGATCTTCCCGATTCTACACAATGCAACTGTCAATCTCTCTCTCTCTCTCTGCCAGAACAGTGGCAAATATTTAATGCATAAAGGTAACGAACGTCTAAACAACACGTCCGATTGGTTTAGAAAAATCGATCGGGCAACAAAATACGCCGGACACGAGAACACGAGCGAATTTGCCAGTAAATAATCGCCCGAAAATATCTAACATTTTGGATACGGGCGATTAAAATCGGCGTCGACGTGAACGGGCACACGAGCGATTTTTATCGCCCGATCGCCGCGAATTTTAAAATCACTCGAAAAATTCGCCCGTGTGCCCGTTCACGTCGACGCTGATTTTAATTGCCCGTATCCAAAATGTTAGATATTTTCGGGCGATTATTTACGCCGGCGATTATTTACTGGCTGTATTATTTACTTACTTAACCTGTATAATAGCAGTCATCATGTTACGCTTCACTGGGCCCTCTAGCAGCCGTTACGATCAGGAGCGGTAATCATTAACGTTAGTTTAAGTGTCGAGTTTTGAAAATAATCCACTAGTCACAGAAGTACTAGTTACAAACAGACAGACTGGTGTTAGTGTCGATCGCTGCTCAACACCGCCATACATGAACAATGTATAAAAATTCATAAACATATGGCCTGTGAATTTGAATATCAAGTTACATGTATGACGACATGTGAGGTAAATGGAAATAAAAGTTTAATTTAGACCTTGCAAATTATATATAGGTACACATACATGCACTGCAGTCAGATACCTACCACCTCGCTTTTCACTTTTGACTGCTCTGAATACTCATGGGGAATGTGGTCCAACACCAGATGTTTGAAGTCCTTGAACGCTGCAATATGTTCAACCAGGACGCGCTGAATTAAAACTTTCATATCTTCCCTGAGTAGTCGATTGTCTTCAGCCGAAGGCAAAAAAGCAGAGTTGGGAATCGTGAGGATATCAGCCAGTGGAATTTTATCGTCTAGGTGCTCACACAGGACGCGGTCTTGAATCGCCACAGAATGCACCAAATTGTGCACTTTATTTCCAGTGTCCAACGTTTTGTGACGAGCATGCTGCATCAAGTTTAGGTTGTCAAACACAATTCGAAAACCAGGGTACAATGGCGTTTGTGGGGTGATATACATGTCTGTACGAGATACCGAAAGGTTCTCATCACTTTCACTGTCACTCGCTGTGCTGTGTTCTATCTCTGTATTGATCTCGGTATATGCTCCAATTTCTGAATCTGTGAGCTCCATACCTGTTACAGATGGAAACACATCTACATGTACTGAGTGATTCTCTGCCTGCAAATCCAGTGGGTAGAACCCATCCATTTCACAAGTCTCCAATCGCTGAGAACAGCCACGATGGATTGGTGTCGACGTTTGCATTGCAGCATAATGATGCTCAGACAGGGGATCATAGCATGATAGATTTGTGATCTCTGGTACAGCAGACTTTACTGGCGACATAGGTACAATGGCGTAACCATGGTCGGAGATCGGTGAGAAGTCGTCTTGATCAGCTGGTCGTTGGTAGTCGGCCTGTCCAGCTGTGAGTGCTGCCCATTCTCTGACTTGAGGGCATCACAAAAATCATGAATTTTGTACACTAACTCACAGTTCTGATGTAGACTCATAGGATTAGATAGCAACGTGGTATGGTATATACTAGGCTGCTCGTTGGAGGTCTTGCACTAGGTTATTCCACTTCACAAGTAAGGGAATTTTCCAGCAGGTCATCCCATCCCGATTTCATTTGACACAGCTTTTGGAACAGCATCTTGAACCTCAGGATAGCTGGTGCCACTATACCAAGTGGATCATAGAAGGTTGAGGCTAGTTTCACAAGACATTTCGTTTGGTTGGGATGGACGTCCATTGCTTGTTTGCAACAAGCACGAGATTGAACACCAACGTGTCCTCAATATGGTTCCAGACGATTCCCAGTATTTTCCGGGAGGTGGAGTCCACTGAGCTAGCACTAGATGTCGCACCCAAAGTGTGTTGGGTGTAGGATTTCGTCTTCCGATACGACACCGCTGCATGTGACTCAGTCTCTCTCTCTCAGTAATGTCTTCGGCTTCACAGCTTCTAAGGTTCTCAGTCGACTTTATCCGATCCATCAGTTCCACCGAAATGGCTGCGCGAACTTCCGTAGGTTTAATCCTCAGATAGCAGACTGGCTTTCGCTTCTCATTAGAAGTCATAGGCATCATCCGTAGTGTCGAAACAGACCGTCATGTCATCAACATATATAGATCTCATGAATCTCTCTGTGAAGGACAAGTCCCATCCTCTCGACATGTGGTGAGTGTATTGTGGGCGTTCAGTAGGAAGGGACTTGACGACACGCCAAACACTACTCTGGGTGAATCGTAGCTCTACAACAACATCCAGTTCGCGTATCTATCAATATCAGCGAACACACAAGAAACGTAAGGCATCTTGGTCGGGCTTCTTTATGCAACCATCAGGAAAGCCTTTTTCAATGTCTCCAGTAAGGGCTACAGGCTTGCACCGGAATCTCAGCAGTATGTCCAGGATGTTTTTCTAGAAGAGCAGGACCAAGCGTACAAGCAGTCATTTAAGGAGATTCCATGAGATCGGACACGACGCATCATAGACAATCCTTAGTTTGGTTGTGTCCTTGTCAACAACGTATGACTCCATGATGTGCGCAGGTAGTAGATGGTAGACTCCTCAGTCTCATTCTCTATGGGAGTTACAGGTTCCACGATTCCTTGTTTCATCTGATCCCTCATCACTCGATCATACTCTCTCAGGAATCTCAGGGACATTGTCTCCTTAAGAGGTTCAATAATCTAGAGTGAGCAACATCCCTGTTGTCTGGTAATGGTGGATGTGATCCTTCCACGGTAGCTCTACTTGATATCTTGTTCCATCAAACTCTCGACGGTTTCTTCAAAGTGTTCGTGACGAACGGTCTTCGTTCGGCTTTATACCGCAGGCTTTCAGAGATTCCAGAACTGTTTCAGCGTCTCATTGAGGGGACCTTCATTTGAGACTTCAGCGCACAGATTAAACATGAGTCATAAGGTTTACAGGGGTATGGACGGCGTATTCATGTACAGGGCCTGACAACACCCACCCAAACTTGGTGTGTACAGCTGTTGGGCCATCTTCACCTCTGACAACCCTTCCGGTCACAACACTCCAGTACTGATCCGCTCCAATCAGAATATCAACTTCAACAGTCTCATCTTTCTCACTGATTGTGTCACTAAGGTTAATGTCTCTAAGGTGTGGCGAACATACTAAGGCACTTTCTCTGATCAACTACTCTCAGGTGTCACAGATTGTTGGAACAACAAATTGCTGTTAATTCGATCTCGCCTCACAGTTTCATTAGTAGCATAGATCTTCACTCTAGGTGAAAACTCGTGGATGACTGTAGACTTCCAAACGACTTTATATTTAGAGTCTGGCCCCTATAACGGGTAGTTTTACTTCATCATGGACTTTGGTCGTTACGAACGACTTGATGGCTACCAGTATCAAAAGCACTCTCACTCTGCGTCTTCCAACAGTTCCTCTTATCATGGTAGCTGTCATCTGCAGGGCGGCTCTAGGCGCCCTCTCATTTTCAGAAGTGTGTAGGCTAGCCGTAGTGGATGGTACGGCTGTTCTCGATAGTCTGTTAGCATCGACTCGGGATGGCTCAACTTGTCTGTCAGAGAATTTCTTTTCTCTACACAGGCTCACCATGATGTCGTTCCCCGCGCATTTGTTGCACTTCAATATTCGAATGGAACACCTACTACTGATATGAGATTCCTTCGTAGGCAGACAAAGCATCGTCCAGCCCTCTTCAGTATGGAAAATCTCTCCCCTACATCAATCACATTCTATCGACAGGTGTGTGTTGGGTGAGACTGTCTGCAGAACGTGGCAAGTCGGACCATTATCATCGGCGTGTAAATAAGCAGCAACAGTGCTTTACCTTTCTGACCACTGGCAGTTTCCGGGACGAGCCATCGTTCCAGTAGCCCCATCAGGGATGTCAACCTCTGACCTCCTGTCTTGCTCTGATTTCTTTGTCTAGTAGTTCCATTAGTGGATCTAAATTCCAGCTTTGTCATTAACCTGTCGACTTATCAGGAGTTTCTCAGTCAGGTGGTATTTATTCATGACAATGGGTATAAGCAAGCTACTATATGATTCAGGTCCAAC